GCTGATGAGCAGGAGAGAAGGGAGAGTGGTTCCTACTTGCAACGACTTTTCTGTTGCACGAGGTCATGTCCAAGAAAGTGTGCTGCCAGGAGGGAGCAGGCTGTACGGCTCTGCCAGCCTCTGCAGGAATGTTCCAGCTTAGACTTTAGTGGTGTGTGTTGTGCCAGGAGTGCTAGGCACAGCAAGAGGCCACGCACGCAGCAGAGTTATGAATACGAATACACCTTGCGTGCCATCATGGCCATCTTTGATCAAGAGTATCTTCCACTCCTTTGAAGCAAATGCAGTACCAGCAGTGTGTATTGCATGAAGATGACAAGGCACAGGAGAAGGTGAGACAAAACTGGAGCTCTGCTTCAGGTCACCATCTGCTGCTGCTGTAGAAAACCTGCTAGTAGGGAGCAGCTGCAGCAGAAAGAGCTATCCCACCAAAAGAAATCAAGTCTTGGTGTTAACAGGTTTTGCCCCGCCATCTTTGTTGGAAGCCAGTCCTGCAGGAATTAGAAGTACAAAAACATCACCCATGTCCAAGGAGTGGGATGAGGGCTTTTTCACAGACCTTGGGAGGGTTTGGGAACAGGATGGGCTGGAAGCAACTTCTCTTCCCCACCAGGAGCAGTCCAGGCAACCTCATGTGTTCACAGAAAATGGTGTGCAGTGGTTATGCAGGTCCTGCAAATAGCAGCTGAGTCGTTAAACATGAAGAGTTTCTGGAAGTCTGGAACAGTTCTCCACAAAGGACTTCAGATGGCTCTGAAGTCTAATGCAGCAAGGACATAATCTCCATAGGTGACGCAGATGGGGAGCAACCACCCTAGGGATAGCATGCAAGTGCTTAGGATGACCCAGGACAACTTTGTGATCATGCTGTTTAATCTGGTGGTTAATGGTTTATGAAATGAGAGGTTCACAGCTATGAGTGCACATGGACAGTGTAAGGGTGAAGGTTCCCCAGCCCTGAGGAGATACATACAGGCATTTGTTTGTTCATGCTTACCGCTGGTTTCAGAATGCTACACCTTAGCTCTGCCCTTCTAAAAATTTTGAAGAAACATAGGTTGTTTCTTTGTTCAGCCCTAGAAAGTGCTTGACCTCCTTCTGGCATTGTGACTCGATGTGAAAGGGAGGAAGAGCCAGGCCAGCAGAAACAGTGTGCATCGACCACTAAGGGGACACCAGTTGCTCACCATCAAGCTGGAAAAGGTGAAGGCTGTGATGAACATGCCTGTTTCAATGACCAGGAAAGGGCTCTTCTAATGTGACAATGTCTCTTCTTCCAGTGCGGTGGCAGCTGTGCCCCTTAGCACCCCACACTAGCACAGAGAGATGACAAGGGGTACAGTGGATAGAAGTGAGGTGCTGTTGTTCCAAGAAGAAGCTGATGCGCCAACGAAAAGGAGCATCTGCCATTTTGTGGACACTTAGGAAATTGCTGTGACATTTGGGTGACATTTTACTTTGTGCTCTGACCAATTGCCTCTTACCTGGTAGTGTCAAACAGCGAGTCTGCTGCCAAGTCATTAGGGGGGAGCCTGGAGAGGAGGTGATTCTCACTGGGGAGGGCATACTTAGGGTGGTATGTGCCCTGCACCTGCAGGGCTCATCAGGCAGCTGGAGTGCAGGTTCATGCTTCACTCACACTGCCTTTGGAGCCTATCTCCAGATGCAAAAAGGCCAGAAGTACCAGTACTGGCCGAGATGGTGACTCAGTGCCAAAAGCTTTGCTTGCCTGCACATAACAACCACATCCCCAAGGAGCATCACTTTCCCTGCTGGAGGGCTGCAGCAGGGGCACGTGTGCCTGGCGGGAGGGCTGAGCCTCATCTTGGCTGAGCAGATGGCCCAGGGAAGAGACGTTAATTAAGAGTAGGGCTCTGCTGCATGCAGGAGTCTGCTATTTGTGCTCATGAGGAAGATTTGCAGAACGGCAAAAGCTGGAGGGGCCTTCCTTGCCTGCCAAATAGCAGTGAAAGCAGACTTAAGGCATGAAGCCTGGATCTTGGCTCTTTCCAAATACAAGTTATTCTCCCCAAGAAAAATGTCACTGTGGCTGAGCAGCTCCTTCCCCGAACCCACTGCTTGCCATGTCCATGAGCAGTCCCTAAAGAGTAAAGGGTGGAGAGCAGAGATGCCCATGGAAATGGTGGAGGAGGCACCAGGAGTCATTAGCTGAGATCTGGGGCACCCCACACCTGGGAGCACCCTTGGGCCTAACCCCAAATCTGGGACCTGGTGTGGTCATATCCTGCACCTCAGTGCATGGGACCCCCAGGACCCATTGAACACACCGAGTGCTTCAACAGGTAGCAGATAAACAGCAAAAGCCAAGGTACATGTAGAGGAGGAGGCCCTGCTTTTGCTGGGAAATGGTTGTGGCTGACACTGCAAAGCATGTACTGCTATCCCCATTCCTCCTGCATTCTCTTTCTACGCAGTCACTAACCACTGTTACAAACCTTTGGACAGCCTGGCAAACACAGCAGGAATCTTTACATCCCATTCCTTTTCCACCTTGAAGTCTGAACCCAGCACTCCCCACATCCCGAGCCAGTGCTATCCCTCATTCCCCTAAACCTACCTCCTTCCAGCACCTCCCAGCAACCCTGCCAGACCCAGCAGAAACCTTATTGAATGGTTTTGGCATTTTTTTTCCTGAAATTAGAACCAGTCTGAAATTTTCCATGGGCTAAAAAGGAGGTTTAATCGCTTGCTTTATTGCACAAGAAAAATCCTGCATTTTGTTAGTGTTATGAATTAGCAGAAATCTAAAAATAGGGTTGTCTACACATTGCTTGAAAATTGTTTACAGCAAATAATGAACAAAGCAAAGCATATTGCCAGAGGCCTGGTTGTTGAGACACTGTATCGCATTATTAATTAAAATACAAGTCAGCTTTTTCCAGTACTTGTAGCCTGTGGGTATCCAATGTACTCCACTTGATTGAATCAGGTAGTGGCAGCACAGGCATTTTTTATTTTGTGCTGGAAGGGATAACAAAAATGTAAAGCTGTTTTCTGCTACTTCATTTGAAAAAATATTATTTTGGAATGAAAGCGTAGCAGCTGCAGCAGCCAGGCAGGAATAATAAGAGGTACACACTTTACCTGTGCACTAGGACTGAAGCACGGGGCTGCATCCTCAGCATCTCTCCAGCACGGCAGCATGGGCAGCCGTTTCCATGGCCATAGGATGCAGCAGTCCTTGTTCCAGGGAAGTGCATTAATTTGAAGAGGAGAACCTTTTATCCTTACCAGGGGTTTTCCCCCCTTATTTCCTTTTGGGGGTGACTCAGTGAATGGCCAGAAACAAGCATGGTTCTGACTTTGATTAGTCACAGGGTCCTGCCAAAAAGATGGTAGGATATCAAAGAGCCACAAAATGTAACTGTACTTTGTGTGCACACTCTGGTAGGAATTGTGACTGGTGAATAAGTACAATTAAAGGAAACCTGAAAACCTCACCTACCCCTTACTGAGGTCAGCTACAATCAGAGCCATTCAGTTCTTCCTGCAGAAAGCACAGGAACTACAGACCTGCCACCCAGTGCCGGCAAGGGGACATGATCCAAAACGGTGCAGGAATAAGATACTGAATACCTGAAATCCCAGTATATGTGAGAGACACACAAACGTGTAAATAAAGACATGGTCAAAAAATTGCATGATTTGTGATGATGACAAAATCATCACATGAGGCATCCAGGTCATTTGCAAACCCAGCTGATGCCACCAGTAGATGCTCCTGCTGCTGCCTCAGCAAATGCAAGCGGGATGTGTGAAGCTGCTGTTTTCCATTGCGTGCCCAGAAAGAGCCTCTCAATGGCCCTCCAAAGTACCTGTGTGACTTGGGATGCTGCCTGTAATTTTAAACATGACTTGCCACCATTGATATTATTTGACTTGCTCCAGGTCTCAGTACCCAACTGAGCCACAGGGACTGCAGTGGAGTTGTGCAGTCCCAGCTCCCAGCGCAGGCTGAGCCTGGGCAGTGGGACCAAGATGCCTGTCTGTAGGAAATAAGTGCCCTCATATGCTGAAGGGTTTCATTTTTGGCCCATTCCTAAGTGCCAGATGTCTTTTTGCTCCTGTTAAAAATAAATAAATAAATAAATATTATTTGTCATCTATTTCCAAGATAATAAAGGAAACAAATACTCTTCCCACTTGAAACAAGCAAAAAAACAAAAAAAACCCCAAAACAACCCCAGAGCATTCTATGTGTGAAGAAGCAACAACAGCAGAACCATTGTGATATTTGAAGACTGGTAGACAAAGGACAGAGCAGGTTTAGATTAGCCACTGTGTTACGGACCAGAGAAGGCTTAGCTCCAGCACTGAGCTTCAGCAGCTTCCAGCAGCACACGCTGCCCTGCAGCTGGAAAACAGCCCCAGGCTTTTCCCCCATGGAAATATTCAGTTTTGGTTGGTGGTTTTTTAAACCCTCCATTAAAAGGAGGAAACAGGACTAATGTACTTAGAAATACCTCTACAGCTGGTGTCCCATCTGAGAGGCAGCTCAGCCCGGGGAAGGTGAAAGCCACAAGGTACCTTGGCTGCATGAAAGGCAGCAGCAGTCCAGCACCCTCCCAGAGCCTCTGGTTTTGAGCTGTTTTCCTGCAATAAAACCACAGAATTACAATGGTGATCAGACACCTCTCAGCCCCCAAAATGCGCCGCTTTGTCAAAACACTGGTTACCTTTTCAAAACCTTTTTGTCAGACTTATCTGTACTAAGCAAGGAGATCTTAAAGGGTCTCCTGATAGACACAAGGTATTTGCTGCTATTCTTCCCTTTATTTCAGTATTCTGAACTACTAGCAGTATTTTAATATTGCTTATTTAATTGTTTAGCTATTGATATTTATCATTATACTATATAAAATATATATAGGATGGGTGGTGTATCAACTCAGCATCGCTGGAGCAACCTCAAGTTCTGGAATTTCCTGACTTTTAAATCCTCTACCTTGCAACATTAACATTGCACTAACACTGGGGGGTTTTGCATTTAATTTTATAAAGGCCAGGGGGGAAATAAGCTATTTCCCTGCTGCCCATATTTGAAATCCATGCTTAAGTGCACACTGGGTCAACCCCTAACCAGATGTAAGTACACAACCAAGTTATTGGATTTCTTGATGATGAATAGAAATCAGAAAATGCACCTGTCTGGCTGCAGAGAGATTTGCATAAAAATGAAGATTATGTACACCTGCATATGTAAAATATTGATGAAGAGAATCAAGTGTGTGTATGTGTACAAAACCACAACACTAGCTTTCAGATATGGCACTGCAGAGCTGCTTCAAACCCAAGCCTTCCCTTCATGGGAGAACAGTAAGAGAAGCCGGCAGCCCAGCCCTCATTAGCTGGTTTGATTTCCTGGCACAGAAACCTACCGGAAAGTTGCAACAGCTCTCATCTGCCAGTTGGTTCAAGATTAGGCTAGTAAGTGTGCTAATTGCTGCTTGTCTTCTGCACTGCATCCAAAAGGCTCCAGTAACAGGAGAGCTGAAGAGCAGGATGCCCAGAGCAGATGTCCCAGAACAACACTGCATCCCAGGAGCTCATGCATCATCTCATTTGCAGCTCCCCAACACCTGGGTCCAAGCTCTGTGTGTTCAGGTGCTGGGTGGCCACTGCAGGTCATGAAGCAACAGCCCAAGCACAGAGAGCCCTTCCAAGTTCTCTTTCACACACAGGCACCCATCTTTTCTTACATGTCTGTGTGAGAGGTACAAATATGGGGAGAGAGGAACCGGGTGCAGAGATGTTAAAATCAGACTCCACACACACTGTGTGCTGCCTATACTCACCAGTACCTCCAGGTGCTGGTCCTTGTGCATTTCTGGGCACTGGAGCACCTGAGGCTGGACAGAGAGCAGCATAGGAGAGTACAGAGACCAATCATGCAGTCACAAAAGTCTGCCCTTCTCTTGGGCCATCCTTATCTGGGAGGCTCTAATTGCAGGTGCTAAATATCAGCTGCCAATCACCTGGTGCCCTGCACTAAGCACACATCCCAGCAGCTGTCAAACAGGCATTTAGCTTTCCGTGTTGCCTTGTGTCTCTGTAGCCCAGTTTTCAGCAGAGAGGAAGGCATCTCTCAGCCACTGGCCAAGCATAAGAGCTCCATCCACACCTGTGCAGCAACGCTGGGTACCTTGACATGAGCCATCTGCTCCAGGGATCCACAGCTGGTGGGGCACAGAGGGCCACCATCACCCCACCACAACACCTCTCTGTGAGGATCCACAGCAGAGCTTTTGTCTTGCAGCAGACTGTAGCTTCTGTTGCAGGGACAGGATTGCCTTGGAGAAACACCTGGTCCTCCCCAGTGAGGCTTGTTCATACTGCCAGGGATGATGCTGTTAATTATCTCTATGTAAGAAACTCATGTATTTGCAATCTGACTGGCGTGGCTTAGCTACCAGTCCAGGTGTCTTAGCCTGATGAAAGAAAGAAAATGTTTACTTTTAGAGATGCTAAATTCACCTCTGAGCTCCCTAATGCTTGCCAAAGGATTTTGAATTTCAAAAACCCTCCAGCCCTCTGAGGTGAGGTTTCCAGCCCAGCCCTGCATCCCCTCCACTGTCTTCCCAGCATATCTGCTGAGCACCAGCACAGCTGGGTGCAGCTTTCCAGGATGCTCCAGTGCCCAGGAGGCTGCTGTGAATCCCTGGAACCCCTGGTTGTGCTGTTGCCATTGCGAGTGGTGACCAGACATGAGAAGCTCTTTCTTGGGTTCTCCTTTCCTAGGTAATATTGCTTGGCTTGAAATTTTATTCTACCCAAAAGGGGAATATTTCCAAGTTTATTTCTCACCGGTTTTGTATTCCCTTTAATTTAGAAAAACACATATAAATAGCAGAAGGTATATTTCGTGTGTATACAACTGCTTCATTATTGTGTATGAAATTAAAATAACATATTGATGATAATTTTAGCCTGCTTCATTGTTAGCAAACAAGGTGAGCACTGCTAGATCTGCCGATCCTCAGCCCTGTGCAGACACAGGGACAAGGGACTGCAGCTGGGGCTAGGCTCCCCCTGCTTTGCTATGATGGAGGCTGGGAGATGCCTTCCCAGAGCCCGTTGCTCCCTCCGCATTTGCTGTGACTGCGAAGAATGGCAAGGGGACCTGGGACTGGGGTCGTGGAGCTGAGGGGATGCACACATTGCATTATTACTTCTTCACGGGGCCCTGGGATGCTCTGCCTTAATGGCATTATTGAGCCCATAAAAGAATTAAAATTAATTAAACATTATTTTTAAATTAAGAGAAATTTCTTCTGCATCAGGACAGCCTCATACCATGACAACCAAGCCTTTCTCATCACTCAACCCTGCAGTATTCCTTTCTGGGAATGAATATTGCAGTACTGACAGTGGCCTGCATAGAAAGGAGATGTGGGGGTGCTGGTGGCGTGGTCCCATGGGCCACCCTGTGTCACACTACCTTCAGTCTCCACCTCTGCCGCAAGGGTGTGCAGCAGATGGCTGGGATGCACCAGCCCATGCTCCCTGGGCCATGAGGCTGCTTGTGGCTCCCTGTGCATCCTGGCCCTCCATGCTGGAAGGGATTGGTTCCTTTGCTCCGGTCCAGAGCCTTTGGCTGCCATAGGACGGCTTCATGGCAGGCAGCTTGCCTGGGAAAGAAAGTACATATTGTAAAAGGACCTTACAAAATAGTAGGCTAGCAAATACCAGTGATAAGTATTTTAATTCATCTCCTCTGACATGAATAGGAACTTTCTTTTACAACTGAATATAAATAGAAGTTGGACATAACATTACTATATGAATAAATGAATTAATCAATCAATGACAAAAGCATACTATGTAATCAAAAGATTTTTCATGTTAAGATTAATTTAGTGTAATACACGCCTAAATATTACATAAGCCCCCTTGACATTGAATTATAAGACTCGGGGATGGGAACGGGGTGGGTTACATGGTGCTGGAAGGTGGGACAGAGCAAGGAAGCAGTTCACCAGCCTGGCAGCCAATAGCATGGGAGATGCTGGCAGCCCCTGCTCTCCAGGCAGTGGTGCTCCCTGGGGGGCCACCAGGCCAGGCTGGCAGACCTGGCTTCTCCAGCCACCTGGGTGTGCTGTGAGCAACTCCAGCCACTGCAGGGTCCACCCAGTGCTCTGGCCAGGGGTTGATTTCCGATGGAAAGAGAAACTGTTCCTTAAGGGTACACTTTTTCTATAGGTGTTCCATGTGGACTGAAGGGAAAAACTATATACTCATTTATACTGCAAACAGGAGCCACAGATTTCAGACTTTGCCCTTGAATACCCATGAGAAGCGAAATATTCCTACAGCATCGAGTACTCCCCCTCCCTGGGAAGCGATGGCAGCTCAAGGCCCTCGCTCCTTCCAGAGCTGGCATGTAAGTCTTCGCCTGCACAAGTTAATTAATCTAATGAGGCAACTTCTTTAGATACGTGTTCTGTATGCTTTCTCCCAGCAAATGATCACACATCCTAAAAATATAATCTTCATTCTTCACTTGAAGTTATGCTTGGAAGTTGAGGTTATACAAATCCAGCCTTGAAAGAAAATGTAATTTCCTAGCAGCGAGCATAATTAAACATATGGAGCCGTTACCAGGGAAGGTAGCACACCCCCGTGGCTTAGTCATTAAAACCAAATTACATATCTATCCCACAGATTTGCTTTAACTCAGCTTGATGGTGAACGTTCATAGTGGTCAGTGTGACCATGTGCCGTATTGTCCCCAGTCTGGGCTGGCATGAAAGCTGAGGTTTGTCCTCAGTAATGCTTCGCAGGGATGCACTCCTGTGGGGCACCAAGGGAAGCTCAGCTCTCCCGTGCCTGCATTTGTTTGCCTATAGAACATAGAGCAGATAAAGTACTTTGTAGGCCGTTGGGATTACACCATCACCCATCTGAGAAGTACAGAAATAAATGGCCTGCTCCTATTTGTCCTGTAAGACTGGGAAAGCCACTTATCCTCAGGGATGTGCTTTACAAAATGAACCCATTGCCATGCAGGACTGCACTGTGCTGACCAGACCAAGGTATTTGTGATTCTCTGTGTGCTCGAAGCCCACCACCATCGAGCCCATCAGGCTCCAGCATGGTCTCAGGCTGGCTCTGCCCAAGGCTGGAGCACATCTGCTGGAGCCCGTCCATGCACAGATCACCAGTCACTCCTCATGGTGAGCTGCCTGCTCTCAACACTGATCTCTGACATGCGAGTCTGGGAACATGTGAGCAATTCAAGTTAAGGGGCTGGGGAGCATTAAAAGGTGATGTGGGGTTTATTTGTTCAGTGCTGGTAAGATGATACCATTAGGGGAAGAACCTTTTGATTTTGCATTTATGTTGTATATTGATTTCCTTTAAAACAGTGACATGGGCTATTGCTAATACCTGTCTAGTTAATACTTAATGGCAAATCCGCTCTTACAGCCAAGGAAGCAATATTATAATATCTGTAGGAAAACATACTTCTGTACATCTAATACTTTATTTTCTTTATTTCTAATCCCAATTTGCATAGATTTCAACTGAAAAAAAAAAAGAGATGAGGATCAAATACATTATCCCAAGAGTCTCTTGCGGGCTAGACGGAGGTTAGGCTTACTCTGCTGGTGTTGCAGGACACGGAGGAACATCTTACTTTCCAGTATCTTAGAAGGACTGCCACAACTGAACTTTTTTTTGCGACACGATTTATCTGCAGCAAAATGCTCCCCCTAAAACTGAAAAGGAAGCCATGTGGTCAAAAGCCATGGAGGGAAAGCATCAAACAAATGAAGGCATCCTTCATAGAGAGGGACATACGTGATGCTCAGGTGTGCAAGATGCTCTGATTTGAAAATGGGAGGCTCATCCCCAGTGATTCCCAGGAGCTGCACCAGGGCTAACAGTTCCCAGCCTGACTGCCTGTCTGCCATGCTGCAGCATAAGCAATGTCAGTGTGAGAGAAGGGCATAAGGACGATGATGGCCAGAGACCAAGGCAGGGGATGGGAAGGACATGGGTGCACCTCTCGCAGAGCACTTGGCTGGGTTAAGCCATGAAATAACTTTCCAGGCAGCATCTCCTTCAAGCGGGATTCATGGTTCTGGATGAAACAGAAACTCTGCTTTCATTTTTCTTGCTGGTGAGTTTGCCAACACCCATTTTGATTAACATGAAATTCCCTTTTCCATTTGCAACATGCTTCTGCTAAGTTTCAAACCTTTTACAAAGTGAGGCATTTTGGATGAAGACAGGTGGAGGCAATGGATGCGGGGAGGGAATTGAAATTAAAAGATTTGACTATGGGAGAGAGGGAATATGTGGTTAATACCATGGAAGGATGAAATCAGAGCAGCCAGGAGGGGGAGGAAGTGTTCTTTACTTGGGGACTGAGACGGAGAAGGACTTAAAAGCAGAGGCCTTTGAAGCTGCACCGGAGCTTGCTATAGGTACAGCCTGAGCTCCTGAGGCGTCTGGGTCCGAGATATTCAAAGATACTTAAGTTATTTAGCTTAAATAAGGAAGTTTTAAATAGATTGAGTCTATTGAGGGATGGGATGAGCTGCTCTGCTCAGGGCCTGCGCTTGGCTTGGTGAGGGCATGAAGCAGCTTACCAGTTCCATGGGGTCATCACCATCTCTGACTGATCAAACAAAAATGGACTTCACTCTAGTCCCCCGCTTACCTTCTGAAGTCCTGTTTCAGCTGCTACAGATTTGTCAGTCACTGCTGCAGCCCTTGTTTCTGAGCACAGGGGACTGCCAGAGGTTTCAGGACCATGTTGACAGGCAGTTCTAACTGCAACAAACCAAATCCTGTGTACAGTCCTGGGACCTCAGGGAGACTCTATCAGGTCTGTGCAAGGGCAAAGGCCCTCTTTCCACATCAGTTTCAGATGGGGGCAGTCAAAT